TTTTTAAATGTAGTTCCCTAAAAAACTTTAAAATCTTTAAAAAGTAATATTATATTATGCGTACATAAAAAAAACTTTATAAAAATTCGATTGATTTGTGATTACTGATTAGACAATAATAAATAAATATGTATGTAGAATGTAGATATTATGTAGAATATCCCAAAAACCGATGATTTTCATTTTAAAATTACTATATCAAAATTACCAGTCATTAAATATTGCGGTTGTAAGTAATTTACCTTATTTGTTTTGATTTTCGTTATTATACAATATAAGTATATGCCTACCATAGATCATTAATACATGATTCCATAATCATATTCAAAAGCTAATACATGACTCACTTAATAGAATACTTGGATATCGACATATTTTAATATGCGTACACACAGCATTAGTTCTTTTTTTTTTGTAATTTAGGTCCATAGGGTCTTAAAAACTAAATATTGATATATTATACACAATACGAGTTTGCTAAACATTAACATCTCGAGTAAGTTACCCCTACTACAAACTATACAGTTACAAGAATTAGTAGGTACTAAATATAAGAGAATAATGTACATATTGCATGTTATAATTAATAATATCAMACGATTACACTTTGTGCTGCAGCAGGAAAAAAAATTTTAAAAATAAAGTATATCATACATAGTGTACGTAAAGTTATTCCCTCTAAAATTCTAAATTACCTAGTACTTCAGTGTCATATTCGGGATAAAAGTGAAAAATAATGCGTCCGACAATCAAAATGTATTAAATTTCAAAAACACATCACTTTATTAAGCATAAATGAAAAAAAAATCAGAGGTAATAATACGTTATRTTATGTATATTATACGGCAGTACTCGAATTAGAACAAAAATTAAGAACGAACGCTAATTTCTGTTTAGAAACAACCAATTCATAGTGCATACATAGGAGGCCTATAGTAAACCGCAATCCGCACACACATTATGATATATTAAATATTAATACGAAATTATAAWAACTATATATAGACACTAATTTTATAGTTGTGCCTTGTGCCTCCGTAGTATGTGACATTGTTGTTTGTTSATGAATCCAAGCGAAATTAGTTCTGCAATTACGTGGAATAACGACATAATTGACGATAACAAATCTTCAGTGTAAATAGTGGAATTTATAATTTTTTTTTAATAATAAAATTAAGAAAATAAG